AAATTAAATATTTCAGGGAACTTATTAATTGTTCTACAGTACAGAATAGTCTAACCAAACAAGCAAAGCAAAAATGTGTAAACAATAACAACAAACATACACTAGAATACCGTATATCCAAACATTGTTTCAACATCAATATAGTACAACACGAATCAAGATTACAATCAATATTAGGGGAGAAATGTACCTGAATTCTGCCTCTTTGTTGGAACTTGGAAACCGCCTTACGTTCCACAAGACCTTCAAGTTCCCTCTTCCTATCGCGATCCATTTGCAGGAGCAAATCACTGAATGCCTGGCGCCCCCTGATGAATCGAGGTGAACTCAAAACCGGTGAAAAGTTACACCTCTGTCCTTCTGAATGATCCTTTATTGATGATGTCCTAACACGAGGCAACGGTGATCCACCATTGACAGCAGCAGCAGCAACAACATTAGCACCATTATCAAATTTGAGTTTCTTGATTATATCAGCAACTCCCAACCTCTCACTTTCTTTAACATCAGAATCAGAATCTTTACTTATATCTGTTTTATCATCTGATTCCCAACCACATTCACTTTTCATCACAATTGAACAAGACTCATCACACACAAATCCCAAATTCTCATAATTATGAACCAAATTCAAACTTTTCGAATCTGTTTCAATATCTTTCCATTTTCTAACAAGAGAAGAAACACCCCCACCACAACTTTCTTGATTCTTGCCACCAAATTCTGTTTTTTTGCATTCGAATAAATCAACATTGTTTTGCGAATTCTCACAAGAATCAGATGGAAAAGCTTTACAAGAATGCAAATGGGATTGAACCAAATTCTTGAAATTTTGGTTGAAAGAATTGGAATCTCTAGTACTAGTACCACAACATCTATTATTAAGAACATAGCCAAATGGAGAAGAGGAGGCAATTTCTACTTGTGAAGAAGCCATTTTTAGGAGAAAAAAATAATAATCTAATCCTCACTTCTTCTCCACAAATCAACAAAAAAAATACTATTCTAAATTAGAAGAAAAACAAAAAAGATGAAATCTTTGAACATGACATTATATTATTTGTTTCAACAAGCCAAAAGATTTAAGAGAAGAAGAGAGAAGAAGAATGTTTCATAAAAATAGGCAAAATAACAGAAACAATATAAATGGAACAAGATTTTAGGAGAGGCATTTAACCGTTTAAATTTAAAACAATGATCATCAATCAATAATACTAACAAACTATTTAGCTTATCTATATTTTTGGTCTTTATCCAATGATTCAGTCAAAAGTGTAGAAATTTGAAAAAAAAAAAACTTAAATTTTGGATGAATATTTAAGGTAGAGAGAATTGTTCTATTGGAGGGAATTTAAAACGTCAACTGATTATTTATATCTCAAACGCACGTTACGCCTTATATTTAACACCATATTTAATATTATGGGAGTGACACTGTTTATCATACGCAAATTTCTCTATAACATCCTCGTTTGTTTAGTTATTGCAAAAATATGATAGTTATAATATGAGACCTCTTATAATATCTGTGAGAATATAATAATTATAATATGAGACCTCTTATAATATATAATACATAACTTTTCGATAGATCAATTGACATCCTTCAAACACACGTAGCTCGAATACTATTAAATATATGTCATATATGAAAATGTTGAGCAAACAACCAAAATATAGAAGCTTCCCATATAAAAATTGAAAGTACCTTAAAGAAAGAAAGGAAGAAAAAGAAAGGACTATGACGTGAATTATGGTATTGTGATATAAAGACAATCTAAAACTCTTATCTATATGATGTACTTAATTAGAGGTTTTAGATTTAAATTTTTAATTAAATGAGTCTTATAATGCATAAATTCAAATTTATCAAATTATTATAAAAATATATAAATATTGAGTGGATTTTTTTAAAAATAAAAAATAAAAAAATAGGGACGTTATGAATTTATTGGGACCTTAATTAACCATAAAGAGAAATTGTTGAAATCACAGTTGTAGCATTAAGATGCAAAGGCCGGCTTGTGGGCTACTCTTTTTTAATCAATAAAATTTGAAATGATAAACATATCACTGCAACAGTTTTGTTTTGTTTTTTTTTTTAAAAAAAAAGCAAATCATTGGAGATTTGATATTGTGTTAGAGTTTCGATTAATATAAATTCAACACACATAAAGATTATTAGAGGGGAAAATACTTGCAAATAAAAAAAATCATATAAAACACTTTGAATTAAAAATGAAGAAATTTTACTATTTTAATTATTCCATCATAATTCTAATCGATACTTTATCATTATTAAAATCTAATTCCATACGTGCTACTAGTTGTTTGCCACGCTAAATTTGAATTGTTACTATCATTTATAAATTGTTCATTGATCAATTCCATATTTTAAGGGCTTCCACTTGTCTCCAACCCTTTACTAATTGAAGTAAAAATATGTGTTCTGTCATTTCAAACACTATTCATAACAAGATTAATGTGGACCAAAAAATTATTTCCATGTGTTATTCAAATGAATGGATGTATACATGGTTTCACCATATTATACCTCTCAAATATTCATAGATTTAACATATGATTTGTAAAAATTTTGCAAAAAATCATCTGAAAGTCATATCATCAAAATAGTCATAAAGCTAAAACACATGAATAACTGAGAAAATCGTCTTATTCTTGTAAAAATGGCTCCTAGAGATGTCCAAAACATATGAAAAAAATGATGATGTTTCATGTACTTCTTCCCCTATGCCATACGAAGAGTTCCATAAAGGTTTCAAAAAAAAAATCATCAAAATGTCATATCATCAAAATATTTATGAGCGAACACACATGAAAACCTCAGAAATATCACCTAATTCCTTTAAATGGATTCTAAATGTCCAAAATAAATGCAAACAATAGTGAGACTCCATGTATTACTACCATAACTCCCTATGGATGGTTTCGTAAAGATTTTACAAAAAAGTCACATTACTAAAATATTCATGATTATTAACACACACGAAAAATTCAGAAAATTACCTAATTCGTATAAAATGACTCATAAATGCACAAAATCTATGCAAAAATGGTGAAGCTTCACGTTTTTCTTCTCCTAATACTTAGAGAGGTTTTTGTAAAGTTTTTGCAAAAAATGATCGGGACGCATATAACCAAAATATTCATGGGCTAACACACACGAAATACTGAGAAAATTGTCTAATTCCTATAAAAAGGCTCTAAATGCCTAAAATATGTGTAAAAAATAGTGAGACTTCACGTATTGCTCCCCTAACTCCCTACAGAGATTTTTCATAAAGGTTTTGAAAAAACTATCTAAAAATCATATCACCAAAATATTCATGAAGTAACACACACACAAAAAAAAAACTAAAAGTATCACCTAATTCTTATAGAATGACTCCTATCTCCAAAATATGTGCAAAAGATGGTGAGCACTCACCTACTACTCTTCCAACTCCCTAAAAGGTTTCCGTAAAGATTTTACAAGAAACTCGTTCAAAAATCACATCTCCAAAATATTTATTGACTAACATACACGAAAAAACAAAAAAAAATCTCCTAATTTCTTTAAAATAACTACAAAATGCCAAAAAGTTTTAATTTCATACTTATTATTTATTGTGCATTATTCATACCAATTAAGCAAATTTCCATATACAAATCACATATTTTAATCATCTCAAATTTCTATGTAAAAAAGATCAAATTACAGAGAATCACATATTTTTAAGGTAAAATTATAATCTATCCTTTAAAAATCTATAATTACAGAAATGCCTTAAAGCGGATACAATAATATAAGCGCTGATACATTATCTAATGCGCGAGATACATTAATCGTTAAATAAGATATATTACATTTTATATATGATACACTAATCTGATATACATTTTATACATGATACACTAATTTGATGCGCGAGATACACTAGTGCATCGAGATACATTAATCTGATGTATGAGGTACATTTTATACATAATACACTAATCTGATGCGCGATATATACTAATGTGATGCGCAAAATACACTAATATGATGCGCGAAAATCAGAGATTTTGGAAATTTATAAAACTTATATGGAATAATAGTAATAAGTGAATTAAAAGGTGGGATTTCCGTAATTAATCCACAAAAAAATAAATGAATTTGATCTTTACAATTATGGTTTTTATATAGGACAATTTTCACATATAATAAACATAAAATTCATATTTGTCTTTTATAGCAAAGTTTGCATAATTGCACCCATAAGAAGCATTGTATAATTCGTTATACATATACAATTGAAACGAATTGTATAAACCGAGAAATAGAAATAGACTTAGGCAGAGAATTGTATAAACGAAGTGGATAAAACGAATTGTATAATTACAAGTGTATAGAACAATAATATATACATGTTGAATTTGTATAAAATGAGAAAGAGAGAAAGATCGAAGAGACTTGGGCAGAGAATATACAATTGAATCGAATTGTATAAAACGAGAAAGAGAAATTATATACAATTTGAATTTGTATAAAACGAGAAAGGCAAAAGAAACTGGGCAGGAGAGTATTTTTATTTTATAATTATAAGTGTATAGGACGAAAATATATGTATTTGTATGTGTATAAACAATCGCTTTATACAAACAGAAACACAATTTATACATTTTGATTCTGTTTGTATAAGTGAGAGAGGCGAAGATGGCGAAGGAGATTAGGGAGAGTGGTGAGCGAGATCTGAAAAAGAGGAGAAAGGAACAAAAATATATGTATTTATACGATTTTCTATGCTTTATACAAATAAATCAAATTTTACACACTTGTATTTGTATAAAAGTGAGAGAAAGCGAGTGAGAGATGGAGCGAGAGTTTGAGGGAAAGACATGACCGACAAACAATTTGCTAAGGAACCGAATTAAATCAAAAAATGTTTGTAACGATTAATTTAATTTATTAGTTTGTCATTATATATAATTTTCCCTTTTATAAATATGGCCCAAACCCGACCCTAGTAGAATCCGACAGTATTGAAAAAGGGGCAGTGGAATTTCTCAGCCTATACACCTCGCCTGCTGCTGACTGACCATTTCTTCCACCGCCGAAGAAGAAGAAGAAGATGCCGTTGAGTGCAACAATGGTGGGAGCCCTTTTGGGATTGGGTACCCAGATGTACTCTAATGCCCTTCGAAAACTTCCTTACATGCGCCGTATTCTTCTATTCTCCTTTTTCTTTTTTAATTTAAGAAAATACAGTTTTTTTCTTTTGGGATTAGCTTCTGATTTTTGGTTTCGATTGAGTAGATCCATGGGAACATTTGTTGGGTATGGGACTTGGTGTGGTGGCTGCCAATCAGATGGTGAAATGGGAAGCTAAGAGCAATGAAGATCTCGACAAATTGCTTGAGAAATCTAGGCAAGCTAATGAACGCCGTTACTTTGGTAAGTTTTCATATCAACCAAATTTCGATTGAACAACCTTTATTGGATTTCAATCTTTCTATCTATTAGTAATTGTGCAATCACTTTGTAAAGACACAAGCTTTGAAATTGATAACCATAGATGTGCTCAAATGAGGGTCTCTACTACTGTTTACTGCTAAAGATGTTTTGATTTGGCATGAAATTTAAGAATATCTGAACGATTTTTGAATCTTGTGGTTGGTGTTGAATGTAGCAAAATGCTCTTTTAGTCTTGTGGTCTTACTTGTCCCGTGTAAAAAATTGGAGTGCAAGAGTTGCAAAAAGGGAAAGAGGCATTCTTTTAATGTAAGACGAACAAATTGAAATGGAGGTAGTAGTATTGCCCTTAAAATTTTGTTGGAGGATATTCATACAAGATGGCTAATTTGAAAAAAGGAGTCTTGTTTGGGTTGGTCAATGTTATTTGTAGGTAAAATAAATCTTTCTTCTTCTAGAGGAAGTCGTCGGGCAATGGGAGGTCAGTGCAATTGATGGAGGAATCCTTAGAAAATGTGGGAATCATTAGTGATTCCATGCCTTGAAATGTTTAGGGATGTCTTTAAAGTAGTGAATAACCTGTTCAAAACTTTAGAAATGTTGTCTTTAAGGATATTGACTATCATTGCACATTGGGGTCCTTTCCTGAGACGATCCTATTTTTTCATGTCTATCTTAATTCTTATGTATTTATCTTGAAAAAAGGTGAAGAAGTTTATAATTTCGGTTGTGTTTTATTGGATTCTGGTTTTACTTTTGGGTTGCAAGTATCTAGTTCTTGGATGTTAATGGATCTTGTTGTTCATTTAAAGCTTCCCAATTCATCATGTAATTTGCTAATTTTATAAGTATAAATGAGTTGACCTTAAAGATGAAGCGTGTATTGTTAGATTTAACCTAGTACTGACAGTACCTCTACTACCCTCAAATATCTGTTATGCATTTGGATTGGCTGCCCTAGTATTTCCAGTCCCATGTTTAGTTTTCTCCTTAGATGACTATTGCACCTTAAAAGGAAGTTAAGGGGCAAAGTAAAGATACTGGATAAAAGTCAACCAGAATTAATTTTTTGTTGTGTGGGTTAGGCACAGGGCGCTGGTTAGAATACTGCCGTAGACAAAAGCTTTGTAATTAAGTGGAGAACAATTGAAGGGAGGGTCCGTTATCCATCAAGCTTCAAGCCACGCGCCTCCTGTGTCGGAGATTTATCCGTTATCAACAAAAAAATCTTTGCTTAGTTCAGCAATGCTGATGTTTACAGTTATCAACTGGGCCGTTTTCTCTTTTGCTCCCTTGCTACTTCTACTGATTCACTTTCTCCTTCCAGAAGCTCTTTTTGGGCAAAACTATTATTCCTATACTCATGGGAAAAGGGATGATCAATCTCGGTTGCATCTTTTTCACACTTTGCCACAAATTCCGTACCTGCATATTCTTTGTAACCCAGTAACAAGCAGGTGGTTTCCTTTGGGATGTACCATCTTTAAACAACTTTTGTCCCAAAACAGGTACTCTGTTACCACCATTGAAGTAAAACGAAAAGCAATAAGTAGTGGGATAACAGAACAAGAATAATGAATTTAGAATTAGATCAGATTAAAATTCTCATGAAATATAGCTTCCATATGCAATTAATATTTCTTTTATTACATGACATAATTTGGTTGTCAGACTTGATTATGAAAAGAAAAGCTTTAAGAGTTATACTTGATTATATTTTGTTTTCAGCGACATGGGATGTGGTTTGTGTTAAATGGCCTTAGGTGTTGGTTGGTTTAAATGTGGTATCGTGTTTATATTACTGATAGGTTTTGGCTTGGGCATTAGGTTTATTTCTGAGGGTAAAGGTGTCTGGGTGTTATATCTGAAGGTCATTGTTTGGGCTCTGGCAAAAGAGGCAAACAAATATTTGACACCCACCTCATTCTCGCATTTTGAATTAGAGTTGATGGTAGCCTTTTTGACTAAAAAGGCAAACCAAGGGTGCCATTCAATCTTTGATGCTCCAATCTGTTCATTTTTTGGGTACGGATATGTTGCATGAATTATTTTAGTGTTAGTAATTTTGTCTAATTGATTGACTATGCAAAGAAAAATATGAATTAATAGGAAGTAACCTCTACGAGTACTTACATGCTCAAACATATTTCAATAATCCAATCATGTTCGCACCCAAGAGAACCAGTTGTTAATCCAAAAAGTGTAAATTCCACCACTCAACTAAATCATCATGAAAATTCCACCATTCACTGGTAAAGAATGTTACATTGACAAGAATTATTTATAATTTAATGTAATGATGTAAGTATTAAGTAAAGTTTTATACTTAAACTAACAATCAAGAATTTAGACCAGGCTTGTCGTTTTAAATACAATTTTGTCTTGTACTTCAGTGCTTGGAACCAATTTTTCCATACAAGCATACAACCATCTGTTACTTCTTTACAATTTTCATTGACTTAATTTTGATAGAAGTACTCTAGATTTAGAAAATGTCCAGCAGTCTTTGTCAAAATTAGTTTACCCACAACAGAAGGACCTTAAATCCCTAAAATCAATGAAAATTCATTCCAAATCGACCTTCAAATAAACAATTTTTGATTTCTCTAGTTTGGGGTTTAAAGTCTCCACTCTGTGGATAGAATCACGAAAAGGATTTGGTGAACTCGGAAAGTATTCTTTGGAAGTACCTGCCTGCTTCTCTCTTATGTTCCAAAAAAAATTCTTCTGAAGTATGTGTGAATTTGTTTGTTGGCCTCTTATAGAATATTTTAATGATGCTTTTGATATTTCATGATTTGAGCTGCATGAGCTTAAACATTTGTATTTTAGGTAAGAAATGATGTCTAGAGATGTCATTGAAGGAAAAGTTTGGTATTTTCTGTATTTATATGGTGATGTTTGATTGGGCATTGAGTTTAAGAAAGATTCTTAGAAGCCTCTCTATAGTCATACCTGCAAAAGCAAGAACAAAATATTAGCACTGTTAATATGTTCTTAATTTTTCGTTCTATAGATATTGAACATTTTAGACATATATGCTATAAGCCTTGTCAAAATGTTGAAAGTTCATTTTTTACTTTGTCAAAAGTAAAATAAAACGGATGGGATTTGGTACGCACAATGCATGAAAATGACATGTAAATGTATATCTAAAATCATGGGAACCCTTTTAGAAACTACATAGGAAGAGTAGAACCATGAGCTAAGGTAAGTTCAAATTCCAGAGGATGTGAAAACACCAGGTGATTTTTCCTATCTGTCCAAACGTTGATGGATAGAGTTGCTTGGTACCTATACTGGTGGAATTAGTTAAGGTGTGCGCAAACTGACTCACATACCATGGTTATAAAAAAAGAAGAGTAAAAGCATACTATAATACCAGAGGCTCAGCATAACTGATGGAGAAAGTATCCAATTGCCCCTTATGTTCAACCATCAAATAGAATCAAGATTGTGCTTCATGTTTGTGTCTGTTGTGCCTCCCGGAAGTTACTCTTCTGGGCTCTATAATTTTTGCTGGAGTGGCTTTCTTTTATGTTGTGTGTAACTGTGGTATCGTAGTTTTCCTAATCTCGCTGGAGCTTTTGTTGCAGATGAAGACGAAGACTAATACTATGGATGATTTGCAGAGAGTATGTTGCAATATCAGCTGCAATGATTCAAATTGTTTGCTTAAGCAGTTTTTCCCCCTTTTATAAGATTTGCAGTACATTGATCTTTTGTATCGGCGAAGAACAGTTTGCAATAATCATATTTTGGATGTCTTGCAAAATGTGTGTTTGCCTAATAATGAGATCATCCATTAGTCTCCTACAGTCAGTCCTATGACTGCTTTGGATCATTTTATATGTTATAAACCTCAAACTTTTTAACATTAAAAAAACAGAACTATCGTTTTTCCTTTACATGGCTAAATTCCAAAGTCTATCTGAAACAACTTCTCTATCCTCGAGGTAAGGGTAAGTTTTGTGTATATCCTATCCTCCTTTATTCCACTCTGTACGAGTAGATCAAGTATGTTGTTTCTTTCCTAAAAAACACATGAGAAATCAACTTTCTATTATAACAATTATTTTTATAATAGCATTTTATTAAAATAATCATGTTTTTCGTGGAACTGATATTTCTTATTATATGATTTCTATAACAAAATTTTGTTAAAAAAATTTCTCAGAGTGATTTGATCGTGTATCAATCACTTTGTCCCAAAGTTGTTTTTTGCTTATAATACCAATGCTTTTTAAACTTGTTGACTCTTTCTCACGTGAACTTTATACATATTTGATTTTTCAAAATATAAAACATAGTTCCAAAATATTGTACATGAATTGTTGGGGGACTCAGAAAAAGAGCCCCTCCAAAAGTAGACTAGTTGTAGCATGGTATTCTTTAGTAAAAGGTAAAATAAAAATGTGATGTAAAAAATTTTCGTTAAGAGAATAATGGCAAGTGCTAAAGTATTTTTTTTAAATTGAGAAATCACTTGTCATTTTCTTTGAAAGATCAACAATGAGTGTAATACAAAATGAAACACAAAAAATATATATAAGCAACAATGTTAATTCTAAAATTGGTGAATGTCTCTATTGGACATCACCACTAATAGGAAAGAATTAATCATTACAATAGTTACAAAAGACATATAGTAATTATGATATTTTCTCTTTTCATTTCCACAATTTAAACATGACTTAATCTTTTCAAAATAATCATGATCATTTTTGACATAAAGCTACAACTACCATTTTACTTTATAACCCCCTCCCCCCAAACAAAGTGTAATACAAAATAAACATGCAAGAAAGATATACTAGGAAACTAATTCAAAAAACAACTTGTTAACAATCCCATGAAAGTTGATCCATAGAAGAATTAACATTAGTGTATAATCCAGAATCCATAAACTCAAAATCGAAGTTAGAGCTGTCGTTGAACGTTTTTTCCACCGTTTGATCATGATCATGAACCACCTTATACACATCCTCTTGATCATCACAAAACTTAGTCTTAATAATTGGAAATTCTTGATCACCTTGTAATTGTACTACTTGCATTTCTTGTTCTTCTTGTCCATTGATAGGATTTAAGGTAGTTGGTTCAAGTCCAGTTCCATTCCACATGCTGTTCTCGTTTATATAAGATGACACATTAATATTCGCCGCGTTTTCCATTAAACAACAACTCGTGAAATCCAACAAGGAATCTCGAGTTCTCTGATCACTTGTTTGAGACTGAAGCGTAGTAATTACTGTATTATTATGATTTATCTGCTCACTCCACGCGAATGTTGGGTTTTGGTATTCAATATTAGGAACAATAGGAGTGTGATTGTATGTAATATTATCACAATAAGGGGAAAAAGTTGATTTCAAATCCATTGAAGTTATCCCTTTATTTGTTGAAGTATGATCAATAGTGAAAATTGAGGTGGAATCTTGAATGTGATGAGTGTAATTATTGGATTTTTTGGTTGAATTGTTGGATTTGTTCTTGAGGAGATTGTGAGTATTTGGATCTAATCCTTGAGCAATGAGTTTTTTCTTAATGCAAGAATTCCAAAAATTCTTCACTTCATTATCTGTCCTACCTGGTAAATGTTTCGCTATTTGTGCCCATCTATTTCCCAATATTCTATGAATATCAATGATTGTTCTTTCTTCTTGTTCACTAAATGAACCTCTTCTTAAATCTGGCCTCAAGTAATTTATCCATCTCAATCTACAACTTTTCCCACACCTTTGTAACCCTGTAAATTGTTTGAAAATATAATTAAGTGAATAAAAATATAAATTAAATGAAATCGTATGCTGATCAGATCGGATTATAAAGAGAGCATGAATTCATTTTTCTCATTTCAAGTGATTTTGTGATCATTATACTTACTAGAAAATTAAGAATACACATGCTTCGAGAAGAGTGTTGTATATATAATGAAGTAAATAAAAATGTGTTACATATGTTCTAGATCTCTCTACCTATGCATGGTACTATAAGAAGTTCGATTATTTTTTTTTAAAATAAGACAATCGCACAATTCAACAACTCCTCCATTAAAGAGAAATATGAGAAATGAAGTATATGAAATTAACCTGCTAGTCTAGGAACAGAACTCCAACAGCCATGGCCTTGTGTGGAGATATGTCTCATGAGTTTTTCATCTTCTTCTGGAGACCATAAACCTCTTTTCACTTTCTGTTTGCTGCAGCAGTGATGTCCCATCCCTAGCTATATCTCCTTAAATTATAATTTCCACAATGATAATATCTTCATCTATATGTTATATATATATATATATATATATAAATATGTGGTGGCTGCACAATAATTAATAGTTTAATTAAAATACAATTAATGTTTTCACTACACTACAAAAACATAGATAGACTAATGTTTTCTTTCTCCAAATATATGTAATTACTATACGTGTGCTACAAAGATGAAGTAAACGTCTTTTTCAATGACTATAATAGAGAGAGAGAGACTTAGATTTAACTTGGAGTGTACTCATTAGAGGACCACCTTTGGTATTTATTGTTTAATGTATCGGTGTAACTGGTAAAATTGTTGTCGCGTGATTACTAAGAAGTTATGAATTCAAATTGTGAAAATAGTTTTTTATATAGAAATATAGGATACAATTACGTACATTAGACTCTGTGCATTATATTCTTATAGTGTAACCTTCTCTTGGGCCCCAAACACTATTAGAAAAGAGCGTTTAGTGCACCTGACTGTCTTTTTTTTATAGGGTGATTATAGTGTAAGTGCGGTGAATCTTATATTAGAAAATGAAAAGAAAGTAAAAAATTTATAAGAAATAAAAGAAGTTCAAATAATAGGTGTGCTTTTGAGGTCGGTAATAATATAGTCCAAGTAGACAATTTACGTGTTATGGACTTGGTGACAAATTGTAATAAATTTATACAATAAGCATTTATAATAATGATATCAAAAAATATTTTATACTATCAGAGTAGCTTTTAACTTTGTTTTAGCATTTTCAAATATTATTATTTTATATAGGAAGATCGTCATGAATACAAGAAATGGATTTGTTAAAATCATAATCAATATTACTATATTTTGTTTCATATTTCTGCATTGATTTGACAATTTCTTAAGTGAAGAAATAAAGTCGCGCTTTATAATATATATAGTTAAAAAACTATAAAATTGTGTATACACACACTGCACATAATACTCTACAAGCTTACCTATTTTGTTCCAAATAGTGTTAAAAAAATAAAAGTGAAGACTATTAGACTAGCAAGCTTTTGAAGAACAGATGAACATGATATCTTAGACGAATCCTATATTGAAATAGAAGAAAGAATGTGAAGAACTTTATAAAACACAAAGTTCACATGGTACATATGCTTTTGAATTCGAAGATGACCAATTAAGTCCGAGGGGACAAATTTGTGAGTTAGTTGCACCATATACGTTCTTTGAACTAAATTGGATAGTGACATATATGGTATTAGAGTTGGTCCTCCTTAGTATAATGATGGTAAAAACCTCAACAAGAACGCTGAGTTTTTAAGAGGCCTTATACGGTATATACATCACAAATTTACATAATATACGTATTCTTTAGGATTTTTAACTAACGTACAATTTTTTAGTATCAATCGAATCAACGCATACAATACATGCCATAAGTTTAGGTCGTGACACACCACTTATTTGTATTGCTTTTGTGGACCAATAAAAAAGTTAATCTTATGGGAAAATGATGTCAACAAACAAAACCCTAATACAAGAAATCTCTTAACCATCTGAAAGGTGAAAGCATAAAATAAACGACTAATTAATGAAAACTATATTTGTCATTATACAATTATTTTCGACCTACATCAACGGCTTTTTCCAAACACACATATAAAAATGTATATTTGTCTCCAAAAAGTTGATTCATTCATGAAACATAGTCAAATAATTACTTATTCCTTCGAATTTAAATTATTTGTCATATTTTTCTTTTAGGCGCTTTTTAAAAATAACTAATTGTAAGATCTTTATAAAAACACTTTTCCCTTTGTACTTTAATGTAATAAAATACTTATAATATTTAAAAACAACTATTTATTAATTTAAAATAATTATTTTAAGAAATCACGATAGATATTTTTAAAATTTAGTGAATAGAAGGAAACCAAACAAAGAGTACAATTATGAGTCAAATATGTAAAGACACAATTTTACTTTTAATGTGCTATTGATGATATTGACTTTTTATTTATTTATTTTATTTTAGACATGTTTTCAAAAAGCCAACAAATTTTCCAATTAAAGCCTGCCGACGGACACCAAAATGTTAAATTTTTGGTGTTATGATGTTATTTTCTTGAAAATGCGTGCAAAGAATTCTTATTAATAATAATAATAATAATAATGGTAATAAAAAGAAGTTATGATGTTATTTAGTGAAAAATGTGTACAACAAAAATCTTAAAATATGTAAAATTGTATTATTTTCTTACTTTAGATCATTTGCAATAGTAATTACCTTGTTGAATAAAAAAAAAGACAAGTCATTATTGTTGGAAATGAGTGATAGTACGTATGGCCATTTAGGGGAAGACCTAATCATTAGACCTCCCATCATTTTCTTAGCATCTAAATTCAACATAAATTACTTTGTTTTTATCATTTTATATGTTGTTTTTACTAAATATGAACAAATAAAATAATAATGTTTTTTCTAAGTAATATGTATTGAGTTGATATTAAGATAGAAAATGTAAGTGAAAAACACAAACATGTGCTCTAATATTGTGAATAAATTCAGGATTTAATTAATTTAACAATTTTATAACTATCTGAAATTAATATACGAAAGTAATTGAATTTTCAATATTTATAAATATTTAATAAACTGTTTAATACTAATACATTATTTGAACAAAAGATATTTTGATGATAAAAGGATTTCCACGTTAGTTAGGAATGATATTTCAGATTGATCTTTATATGGATCAAACAATTCTCTTTCTTTAAAGCTAATTAACGTGAATAACTATCAGCGTATAAAATAATTGTTGGTAATCAATAAGTTTATCATATTTCTTGAGTTTAAAATTATAAACGTTATATTTTTTAAGCTTAAAATTATAAACGTAAAATTCTAATTCCGTAATGATGTTGCTTGGAGTGTCAATTTTTATTTTTTTTTGGTGTCAACGAATTAGATGAATAGATGATGATGATTGGGCTCTCTTCCTTTAATCATATTTTACCCTATACTTTCATTTTCCTCCTATTCTTTCACTAAACTTTTAACAAAGAATCTTCTACATTTTATATAATTTTTGTTTTTTTTTGTGGTATTGTCTCTGTGGAGGAAATCACGTTAAAAAGCAAAGCCTAAAAGAAGGGCATATCAAAAGAAATTCAAACAATTTTTTTCCTACTTTCTTTCTTAATCAAGGTTTTCTTTAAAAAAAATTGTCATCGCACACATCTTTAAAAAAATAAATAAATTATATAATGTGTGTATAATATTGGAAAAAAAGTTTATAGTATATGTTATTAAACTTTTAGAAATGTCTCAGCTATTTATTTTGTTATGCTACATTCTTGATAAGAAAAATCATATTTGTTGGGAGCGCCACCCTCGAGTGGGCCCTGTAGTGCGCGATTCGAATTTAGTCGGAGCTTTAACGCGGACTCTGAACACCGGGTGGAAAATAAATAAAAAAAACTCAAATGGTTGATTTTAAAAGCTCTATTGGACAGATGACCTCTGATTTAAACGAGCCATATCATTAGCTAGTTTATTTTTTTCAACAAACTAACTTTATTTTTTAATTCAACCAATTCAAATCGAAATTGATTTGAGTTTTAAATTTAAGAATCATTAAAATTTGATTCAAAATTTTAATTTTAGGGTAATGAATGAAACACATGCTGTTAATATTAAAGAGGGGCAAACAAATTGATGTGACACTGTAAATCTTCATGGGAATCATAATAAAATAAAATGAGTAATGATAAGCATATATAATAACATTGATAATAGAGAATATTTGTTTTATGTCAACCTATATTAATTTATTGATTATGACGATGGATGTGATGGAGGTTAAAAATACATAGGAATAATATAAAGCAAAATGATGCTCTAGAAGGTAGAAAATCAATTAAGCCTTTTCTGTTATTGATATATCAAGACTTTCTTGTTAAAAGTATTAAGTATTTATCATCATCATCATTAATTATAATGCTAATATTATCATTACTCTCTAGATAAAAAATGCACTTTGCCGACAATTATGAAATTTATTTACGTTGATGTTACCATTTTATTTATATTTTACCTTAGAGTAATTGGTTTGAACTATGTGAAATAATAATTTAATTGAATAGTTTTATTAAAACAAAAAAAGAAGAAGTCTGGAATTTGATATGGGAAGTTAATAAAAATACTACCTTCTTAAATATAATGAATTTTATGCGTTTCAAATACAAATTGATCAGAATTTCAATAAGAATATGAAACATAGAATAAAAATAAAAAGAGAAAACTATAGTCAAGAGTTCATGATTCAAATTGTATATTCAAACTATTTGGAATTTCAAACTTTTTGTCCCACTATTGCTTGATTATGTTTTCCTTAACTTTGTGGTAGGAGATCGAACTCTTTGGCTGACGTTTAGATTTTATTAAGTTATTATAAATACAAAATACGTAAAAAATTTGTTTATTGAAAGAAAAATATATTATTTAATCAAAAAAATAAAAAATGTATATCTAGAAAAGGCAAACATATGCTCAAAAGTTAAATCTGATGTTAAGAATATAAACTATGGTAAAAGAAAAGAAAACGTATAAAATATATTATAATAATATACTCTATTCGAAATATATATATGAAAGTTATTTAAGGTGTTGATATAGCTTCATGTACACACTTATGAACAACACTACAAAAATAACGTAGAATTCATAAATTGGATGGCGTGATTCACATTTTTCCATCCATTAAGAACATCCATCACTTTCATTATAATTTGTACTTATTCTTAATTTACCATCACTTTAAACAATTTTATGTTTTATTTTCATTAGAGTTGTCTTTTGGCAGCAGCTTATTGAAGATATAATTCTGAAGATTGAATATTAGGATAGTTGAATACTATTGTTTCTTTATTAACATTGTACGTTTACTCTCATACAATATTATTTTTCGATTTTAGTAGTAACTATCAATTATTTTCTTTGCTACAACTATCATATTATTTGTTAGTTATTGGATCGTTTCTTCCATATGTTCAGAATGACTTGTTCACTATTAAAAATTTACTTTGCATATTTAAATTTTAATATATTTTACTTGAGCTGAGAATCTATAATCATAAATTGTCTCTGTACAATTATTTACTTAAGTTGTTCGATGAGTTAGTCACACGCTTCAATACGGTGGACCAGACAAAGAGATTCCGAATATGAGTCTCACTATCGTTATTATTAATTTTTCACGTGCTTGACTCATGAAAAAGAATCAAACTTGCACATTAAGAAGCATATTAAATAATAATAAAAGTAGATAAAAATACAATCAAATTATCCGCTTAAGTTTTTAAATGAGTTAATCACCGAATTCAATACCATTGCTCTATAAGTTGTTCAAAATTATAACGGAATACTTCACAAATTGAGCAAAGTGTATCAATAATTGAGATTATGTTAAGAGCATAGAGAGCAAACCAATAATAAAAGCTTAAATATCTGTATTAATTGCTTATTAAATTATGTTGCTAATTGCACGTCAATGTCTAATCACATGTTAACCGATATTGTTATGTTATGATTTTGATTTGAAATTTAACAATTATTATAATACATACAAATGTTAATATAAATACTACCTAGTCAATTCTTAGGGTATGTCCCATAATGAAGTATAACGTTTTTCACGAAAATAAGTAACTCTACTATATTTTTACTTTTTTTTTTTTATGTTCGATACATAAGTAAAAGAATATATTCCAAAGTGGGGAGGATCACATTCAACTGAAAGTATTATACTCGTGAAATTTATTTTTCCTATTTATAGCTTGTTTGACCAAGCAAACTTTTTTTCCAAGGTATTTATTTTTTCCCAAAAATATTTTTTTAAAAATTATTTTTTTTAATTTTTGAAAATTTAAAGAACTTCCTCCGAAACACTTTCTACCAAAAATTTGACCAAGCACCATATTTCTAAAATAAGCAATTTTAGTCTTCCAAAAACTTATCCAAAAATAACTATATATAAGTAATTAAGTTGAATTAATTATGCTTATGATGAGGTTTGTTTGACAAAGTCCAATAATTCTTCCAGCCAGTGAGAGAGGAAAATTAGGAGGTGAAGTGTATAAGTAGAATATCCATGTTTATACTTCAAATAAATCAATACGAAATAACAAACTCCTTAAGTACAATTATTTGGGTTAATTACAACTGTATCATTTTGACTAATTAATTAGAGTAAATTGATTAATAATTGATGGGGAAGTTACACAATTGGCCGCTTGGCTGAAAATATTAACATGCCCCTAATCGATATTCATATATATTATACATCAACATACTAATTACGCACGTAAAACAAAATGAATAAAGTTGAATGTCAAGATATATAGGGTCTTTTCAAGAATAAGGGATTTTTGTAACACAAAAAAAACGTTGAAACCACAAAAAGTAATTTAACTCAATTCTTTTCCTTGTAAGTAGAGATTTTGCTTTTTCACCTCGTTTAGTATATATTATATATCTGTTGGCTATTGATTTTGGATGGGTGGCAAAACTATGTAAAAGTCCCTACTATTATCTTTTAATTGGGACAACATAAGTTTGTTCATTTCTTTGTAAAGGGTTAATTGAAGGGTTATGGAAATGGGGAGATTAATTATACCTAAAGGAACTTGTGAGGAATTGAGCTGGCAAAGGATATGCAATAAGGTTGAGTTGTAGATAATCTAGAAAGAAGTAAAACAAAAGGTTGTCAATGACCATTTCTATTTTTTTTAAAAATATCTTATGACAAGTTATAATTTAAAATTTTTATTTATCCCTCTCTTGTACTACATTTGTGATTGCTCATAAATTATAGTATATACCTCAATTTGCTTGGGATTGATGAGTAATTGTTATTGCTAATCATACTTTTGGGCTGAATTTGTATATCAAAGACTCTCTCACCAACACTCATCTAGTTCACAATGCCTTTAATAAATGTATACACATTAGATAATTAATTGTGTATATATTTGTAATTTTATGTATAACAGTTTTCAGGTGATTTTTTATTTTTATTTCTGAATTTATGGTCCTATAGAAATTTTCTTGGACTAAACTTTTGACATACAAGGCAAAAAATCTCTAGTGTGAACTTGGATGCTACTACACATCTTATGTCGGATAATTAAGAACCATCGACTTGAGTGGAAAAAACTATAGACAATCTTGAGATTCATTTACAAGTAGATATACGAATAAACATGTCTTCCTTCGTCTGAATGAGTAAAATAATGAGCTCTCGCAATCATACAAAGTCATGCGCAAATATATATATACATATACATCTTTGTATATTGATTCGTATATAATTATATCACTCCTTCAACCCTCACAATTATATAGATTGTTATATACAAATATATACTATTTGTGTTTTTATGTATATTGTTCCCCCCAAAAAATGATAGATGAAATTAGTCATGTATTTATGGTTCACAACTATATAGATTGTTATATACAAATATATACTATTTGTTTGTTTTTATGTATATTGTTCCTCCCAAAAAAAAATGATAGATGAAATTAGTCATATATTTATGGTTCATAATTATATAGATTGGTTATAGACAAATATATATATTTTTTTGTGTTTTTATTTATATTGACCTCCCAAAAGATGTTTTAGAGTTAAAAACAATTCGCCCATTTACAATCCCAACAAAAATTTAGCCTTTATTTCATTTCCTCTCTCATTATTCTCATGTTCACTCAGCTGAAAAGAAAATATATATATATATATATATATATATATATATATATATATATATATATGTTAACAATAAAAGAGTCTAAAAAATAAAGGATAAAAGAAATTCCTTCAAGGCAAAAAAAATAAAATTAGATCTATAAAAGAATTTCTATTGCCATCAATTCTTTGGGAGATTTAGAAACAGGTAATTTTCATTTTCTCCATATAGTTTATCCATGATTTGTTTTTTTATGGTTAAAAAAATTTAGGAGCAAAATGAATATCAATCATCATGTATGCAATGAATTGATGGATTAACAATCTTGATTCATAAAAAAACATGACATAAATCTAATGTAAATTGAGTTGTTTTAGGAAAGATATGTGCTTTTGGGATTGAATTTATAGCTAACACATAGGTAACATTGGTTGTTTATGAAAATTATTCATGTTTTATCTTCTATTTTTTACTGATCTAATCAATGTGTTTCTATGTATATATCATATAATTGATTTTGTTCATTCAATTATTCTTTACTTCTGGATGTTAACTTTTTCGTTCGGTTAGCTATTCGATGGGACTAAAATCCCTATCTAATCCTCGATGTGTGAAATGATCATTTTTTCGATAGAACCAATATCCCAATCTAATCCTCGATGTGTGAGAGATGTCTCTTCGATAGAACCTATCTAATCCTCGAAGTGTATAACATGTTTGAAGTGGTATTAGCTTTTTGATAGAACCAAGATCATACCTGAATATCCTTAGTTTTTGCTTTGAAGACTGATTCAAAAGGATCATGATGAATATTGAAACATCAAAATTTTTTTTTAATCCAATGGAGTAATTTTATTTTAAGATTCAAAAGGATCATGATGAATATCTCCACTAAAGATGATTTCTGGTGAAGTACAAGCTTTTATTAATATATTTTATGCATTCACCACTTAAAGTGAAGTGAATACAAAGTGCTTGTATAAAACACTCAAAAGTTAGATTTTTCAGGATGAATGAGCAAGCTACACAAGATAACAATCCCTCTGCTCCAACAATCCTTCCAGCAAAGCGAAGGCGTGGACGGCCACGCAAAGATGGAGGTGTTGCCAAGAGAGGGAATTTGCAGTCAGCAGCGATGACAGCTCCAGCACCCGAAAACATCAAGAAAGTTCAACGAAATGCTGTTGAAGTAAACCAAAAAGATGGCATTATTGGCAGTAACAACGGTGTAGGACAGATGGTTTCTGGTGTCGTTGATGGTCGTTTTGATGCAGGGTACTTCATTACGGTGAGGGTTGGTAATAGCAGCAGCACGCTCCGTGGATTAGTCTTCCAGCCAGGGAGATTTGCCCCAATTACACCAGCAAATGATGTTGCCCCATCAGCTACAATGTATCACAGGAATCAAGTTGCTATAAACCAGCTTCAGCAAGAACAACAGCCAAATGTGGCACCAGGACAACAAGTTTTAACTTCGAACCCAATGTCAACTGCTCCATTTATACCAAATACCAACCAATTTCCTCCTGTTATGGCACCTAACGAGGGACGATGCAACGTGACTTCAACCTTGGGTGAAAAAGTCATGCTGCAGCAGCCAAATCAAGATCAAAGAGTCCAAATCCACCAATCCCATCTTACCATTCCGGTGGAAAATCTTAGAATGGTTGAAAAGGATGAAGTGATGCGGGTATTTGAAATCCCGAACCAATCAGAAGGGACTACTAAAATGGTTGAAGAATCCATATTGGAACCAAAAGGTAGTGACGGAACTAGCAATCAGGTACAAAAAGCTCAAAACCAACTCATGGGCTCAATGTTTCAGTCTGACATTCTTTTTCATGGTAACCTTAACAGCCCAAGTGGTGAAATTCATCATAATCCTGTTGTGTCTAAGTCTCAAGAGGCGTTAGACAACCACCAGATTGAATCTGAATCCAAGAATGATAAGCAACCGAATCCTGAGCAGTCGTATATCCAAACTTTACTCCAGCCTGGAGAGTTGGTTCACTGTGCAGCCAAGAAACTTGAGATCCACCAGTCTCCTCCTGTAAACGCTCAAACTCAACTCTACTCCTCCCAAGGGCTTCCTCCAATGAATGAAGAGATTCAGCTAAAACAATGGACTCATGGCGGACAAGAAAACCCACAGAATCAATTCAATCAAAGTACTCTATTTGCTGAACTTAACTCTGTTTCCCCTGCTGCAGAAACTCAAGTTCAGCCAAGCAATGAACTAAAAACCACATTTCTTGAACAGAATTATGTTCAGATGACTCAACCTCTAGAGGTTGGAGCTAATGAGAATCCGAATCCCGAGATCAACCAAGTACTGGTTGCTGGTGAAACTCAAGTTGTGCCTGAAGAGTCAATTAGGACTACTTCAATGGACTTCATGATGGAAAATCTGAATTATCCAAAGAACGATGAACCACAAAGCATTCATATTGGACCTGAAGTTGACTTATCAAGAAATGTGGAAACAGCAAATGAAACTAAGCAAGCAAGTGATCCTCCTGGTGACAAACTATTGCTAGGTTCTCAATTATCACCAAAGCAACAAGAGGTGGAAACCGATAATTCTGATCATTCAGCTAAACTTGAAACTCAGAACAAAAGTTGTGATGGTGGCAACATCAACCTGGAGATGTTTCACCAAGTCAAACCTTGAAGCTGCTCATGAATAAGAGCAACAATGTTATAGATCTTTAAGTAGCTGGCAGTATAGGACCTTATCTTCATGTTAGACTTTGGTAACTTTTCTTTTTATTTGCAAGAACTCATCTGGAGTCACAGGACCTTAATCATCCCAACTATGTCTGTTTTCCCCAACAGTATGGCAGGTCCCCTTTGTTAGCTTTAGAGGCGGAACCAGAATTTGAAGTTCATGAGTTCTAAATTTGTCACTGGATGGAGAAATCTATAGCTTGCTTTAGTTACTAAGTTCGTAATTAAATATTTATACATATAATAGATTCCATGATTATAAATTTACAATATGATTAAGAGAATCAAAGGTGACCCCTTAATCAAGAATGATTTAACTTGTATACTTTGACATTGTAAAGAATTTTTATATTATTATCTTAACTGTCTCTATGTAATGTTCTATCGTGAGATTAGTCGTACATAAGCAAAAGGAGTAAGGTAAGGATCATTAGAGTAATATTTCCAATGAGCCTTGCCTGTTCTATCAATCCCTGCTATTTTTCCAACTTGATCTCGCGGATACATGTAATTTTGAAAGAATATGTGTCTGGTGTGTGACAAACAACGTTTCATTCCTTTGTCAAGGGCTCGATCAATTGATATGTTTTATAAATACTAAAAAGTCAATTTCTTGAATACTTGTAAAGTGCTGAATTCATCAAAATAAACTTACAAAATTCCTTGAATAGTATGGATTTGATTGAATCAAAGTACTGTAAATATTCCCAAAATTTATTTATTCCTACAGTTTGAACCCATGAGTTGTTGATTAGGATTTAGGTGCATGCAGTTGACATAGAAAGGAAGACCAACTCAAGATTCCTCTGTTGTAAAAAAATACCATAGACCTATTTGCCTTTTGAAAAAGACAGGTTTGACATTCTGATAGAAGTAGTAGACCAGGTCTGATTAGAATGTTTTCTATAAGTTGAGATAGAAAGGAAAGCACAGAGAACATATACTTGTGCTCCTCATGACAGGCGTAAAGCTGCGTAGTACTGCGTACACACCACCCTTTCCAGACCCCACTTGTCGAAATACGTTCGGGTATGTTGTTGTCTTCAAGCTATAGATAAATGGAAGTCGTAGATCTGTTTTTGGTTATATTTTTAAGTTTCTTAGCTGCAGTTTTCACCATAATTGTGAGGGAGAATCTGCAGGAGTTTTGTGTTAATTTATTTTTCCTAATCCTCCTCTTGATTTTCTTTCTTACTTTCCCCAAGTCTTTCATTTTCGTCCTTTACAACTGTTTTCTGATTACCTGCATTTCTATGTTTAAAAATGCCTTTAAAATTCTGTGGACCTTGATGTTTTCTTGATTTGTAATGCATTTTATTTTGAGAGTTAATTAAGGAAGTATTTGGATTTGAAAAGAATACGTCTCTACATACGTGATTGGCATTAATGATGGGTTCTTTTGGTTATTCTGTCTTCACAAAGATAAGAGAAGGGGCAAGGGCTGGGTACTCGCAAGTCGCAACACTCTCCAAATCTCACTTGTAAGGTTACACTAGGTGTGTTAATTCGAGATACAGTTGAATGTTTGAAAATTGACTCAAACTCCAGGAACCTTTAACTAGACGATGACTGCAAATTTGTAATGATGATATCTGAACACCCACATAAGCAGAATAAAGATAACAAGCCATCTGAATTCAAAAAAGGGTAATAAACCAGACACAAGATCTTATGATTGAAAGAAATGGCAAACCAAAACCATATCCACACAAGAAAATTAGAAAGAAGAGCACCATGATCAAAATCAACATTCTGACAGCCAAAACTATGGAAAGTATAAAAAGATACGTCCTTGACCTATCTGAGGTCTTTCACATCACTAGGCCGCATGTAACAAAAATGGCCAGTGCGCAATAGGCCGAGAAAAAGGGAAATAGATAGAAAAGGCAACTACAGAAACAGACAGCTGACCAGAACATAAATGTATCTCCAAGAACTAACCTACAGATAACCAACTACACTACCTCTGCATTCATCTGAAAAACCTATGCGCTTCGCATTTCAACATCAGTTTTTTTGCCATGTTAGGAAGCTCTCACCAATTCCTTTGACCAGCAGATTACTGCAAAATGTAAGGCAATTTCTAGTCATGAGGAACAAATGTGATATATGATGAATGAAATTGCTTCTGGGTAACCACTTCTCCTTCTCTAGCAACTCATTTTATTCGCTCTAACTATGACAAACAAACAAGTGTACTCCCTCCTAGTAGAATGTGTATAGATTCAATGTCATTCCCTACACAGGAAAACAAGATAAAGAGTTCAAAGGTTTGGAAAATACCTGAGGCTGCTGCGGCATTTGTTGCTGTTGATGTGGAGGTTGTGCATAATTCCCATACCCGGCATAGCCTGCATAGTACATATTTGGGTCCTGAGTAGGTTGGGCATAACCATAGGCGTCATATCCTGGTGTATACCCATAATAACCCCCACTCCACTGGTTCGGATCACCCTGAGACTGCTGAAAAGGCGAGCATATTATTTAATCAGCCACCTCACGACGGTTATGATGCAGTAGTCAGAGAACATTTAGGCAAAATAATAACCTGCTTGTTTGAAGGGCTACGACCCCATGAAAGGCGGATGGTTTGTCCACCCAACTGAGTTCCACTCAATGCATTTAGAGCTTCCTCAGCACAGCTTCTGCCATAACAATGCCAGCATGTTAGTTTCCTTATCACTGAATTTGACTAAGTTCAGAAGGCATGTTACTGTACCTATCAGTAAATTGAACAAAACCACAACGTTTGCCTAGTGGTATTTTTACATGAAGCAATTGCCCATAGTTCCCAAAAACCTGCCTGAGGTGATCATCAGTTACACTAGCATCCAAGTTCCCAACGAAAATCTGCAATTTAAGTTGTTTAACATGAGTACAGTTTGAGAGAAACATTGAATGATGATATAAGGAAATGTACCGACCGTCGTATTAGTAGGGTCATCCTCATTTTGAGTTCCAGTACTTTGATATGAAGCTACAAATGAAAGAACAAATGTGAAGGTGGTTAGCAGAGATATATGTTAAAGCAAATTAAAATGCAGTTGAAAAACAAAACTAAAAGCAAATGTCCCCATAAAACAGTAAAGTTCACACAAAAGGTCAGGCATGGCTAATACTTGGACATGTTTTCATCGTCACCAAACTGGTGGGGTACTCAACTCCCTCTGAATTCCAGATTAAACACAAAAGGTCTGATCGTCCGCAAGAAAAGTAAAATTAGCATCTCAACTTCCTATATGTTCAATTTTTTTTTCTTTTTCTTTTATGTTTGGGGGAAGGGTTGGGATGGGATGGAAGAGAACATATTTAAAGATGACGATCACTATTGGTAGGGCAATTGAAGTATTATACACAACGAAACATTTAGTAAAAAAAGAGCAGAATAGAAAATACATCTTAGAAAAAGTTGGAAGAATGAAGCACCCTACAAGGTGGATTGACTAGTGGTATGAGATGCTTGCCTAACCCAAAACAAATTAGAAAAGAGAGGGATAATCACATGCAGTAGTTGTGTCCTAAGTAAGAAGGATATGATGATGGTCAATCATATTTTCATCCATTGCAGATTGACTAATTAGCTGGGAAAATGCTATTGCTTATATGTGACCTGACGTGACGCAGGCAAGGAAATCCAGACAACTGTTCTTATGCTGAGATGAAAGAAGCCTCAACATCTGAAGCCCCTTTGGCGTACTGTCCCTGCAGCAATATGGAGGACAATTTGTAGGGACAGAAACCAGAGATTTCTTTACTTTAAAAAAAAAAAAGGAGACCAGAGTTTTTAAAGGGAAACAAGAAAGCATAGTTAGACTAAAGTTCAATATATTCCTACAGTAGCTTTTCGGTGTAAAAAGATTGATGTACATGAAAAAGAAGGTTTGGTAAATTTCACTTGTTCTACTAGCCTGTTTAGCCAAGTAATTTAGAGGCCAAACACATTTTTTTGGGAAATTTGAGGTGTTTGGCCAACAAGTAAAACTACTTTTAAGGATAGGGGTTTTACCCTGTGCACACCCAAAGGATAGCGGCTACAGGTTTCCCTTGTCATTAAAAAACAAAAAAAAGTAAACTACTATTAAGTAGAAAGAAGTAGTTTTACTTCATGGGGAGAAGCAAAAATAGAAAATTATGTTTTTCAAGACAAGAACTATCCCTACCATAAATACATATTTACCAAGTATAGCCCTCGTTAAATCCCTTAATTGCTAAATATACATATTTTGTATCGCAACTCCTTTTGATTCCAGTAATATATTGGTCTCTAGATATTACTGTGCTTCCAAGCTTACAGAGAAAAGCCAAACATCAAAAGTAGGTAGGTAGCTATACCTTTGACGTTTCGCATTTTTTTTGGGGGGGTAATTTTAAAAAGCCTAAAGTAAAGTGCTTTTAAGAACTTTGTATCTTTGTCAAACACCTCTTAAAATTAAGAAGTGCTTAAAGACCAAAATCACCTAAAACTAAGTCAATCCAAACACCCTAATAATCTTTTTCATCAACATCAACGATCAAATTTATAAGGTTTCAGGAATAGATCATATAACCATATGATGCACTTATATACACCATATTTTGATTAGTAGTGCGGCAAATGAGATCTCACTCATTCATTTAAATGATAAAAGTAAAATCACAGTTACTTATTTTTGTGATGAGTTCAGTATTATCAAAGACAAAAAGCGCAAAAAAACTCTAAGGTCCGTGGGGCTTTAAGCGCAAATAAAGTGTGGCTTTAATGGAAAAAGGCGCAAAGGGAGAAAAAAATACAAATGTTTATAAACTTGAATGATAAATATATGACCAAAGAAGATGAAAAAAGATTATGATAAAATGAAATATCAATCTTTTAGTGTCACTCCAATGGAAAAGTTTGTCTTATAACCTTGATGACGACACTGAAGCACACATAAAGCGAGGCGAAGCGCTCAACACGTTTTGAGCTCGCTTCAGGCCTTAAGCGCACTTTAAGCGTGCCTTTGATAACACTTCATGAGTTCCCCATATATAGTGATATAATTTGTGGAATGGTTTTAAATTTTGTTTTGGTTGATGTTTCTTAGTATATTTAAATCATCATGTTGATATTATATCAATATTTTAATATTTTCTTTGATTTATCTATGTCTTTATTGATCCTTGGCACTTGCTTTGTCCAGAGATTTATAGAATGAGACAATTGTCAAAAAGGAAAGACAGAATAGAAATGTGACTAGACTATATGGAGTGCTGTAATTTTCTGAACAATGTCATGACTATGTACCCATTCGGCACAATTTTTTGTAATCAATGACACAATCTACACGAGAATACCATATTTATCCGGACTATGATGCTTTTAGCTCTTCAGTATATGTCCATACAACAGACGACAGAAATCAAAGTCATGATTTTCATAAGCCATAATACTTTTGAACTATCTTTCTGCCATATGAACGTCAAAACACGGTAATTTCAGGATCTAAAGGCACTATTGAAGTACAATGATTTGCAATACATTCAAAGAACATTTGCAGGCAATCTAGAGATACAGAAAACATATCCTAACACCACCCTTGATATCTTTATTAAAGCTCTAGACGTCTTGACAACAGAAGTAAAAAAGAGATGCAGAAAATTAATTACCAAAACTCATCTAAAGAATTTTAAAAGATTTATTCAAAACAAGGAAAGAAATAGAGTTATTACACATCACGTTACAAATTATACATACTTGAATGTCAATATATCAAAGAACCCTAGCAGAAACAAACTATATGATGTATTCTGTTCAAAAATGAAATGATGGATTATTGACTAGTAATGGAGAGAGGAAACCCCAACACCGTGAGGGCAGATCTCTAAGACAAATTCATTAGGCAAATGAAGCAGATAAAGGACCAGGATATCCTAAGTTGACAATTGAAACTGACAAAGAGCTTAGAGGTACACTGAAGATCAAAGTGACACTGGTGGCAATCATATGAAATAAACAAGAGTAAAATGTCTGAATAGTAAAGATAAAGTAATCTGAAGAAACAAGAGCAGAGTAGAGAGAAAAAACTGGATCTGTTAACATTAACACCGAAAGGACCTGATAGATGCAATTTAGCCACATTTAGATAAACTGACCTACACAACACCGTTCCCTAAAAGATACTCATTTCAGCTGAAACAAGCTCCAGGCCACTAAATGATAGAGCCTGCCTCTCATTTACCCTGCTTCGAGACAACCGTAGTTTTATGAGATTTAATATTTCAGAGAAATTTTTAGTACTCAAGGAAATAACATCACAAGCTGGTACTTCTCTTCAAAAACTCAACAGCACAACCTAAGGAAGCAAAACATAGAAGCACCACTTGGCCGACTGAGACCAAAACAGATAACTCTGGATCCCCAAAATAAACCAATAGAACCTTCAAGCTATCTAAATTAAGACCAAAACAAAAGCCAAAAATAAACAAATAGAATCTACAGCTATCTAAATTCAAAGCTCATGCTCTTTATGACAAATAAGCACAAAATCAAAGACTGTAGAATAACACAAGCATCAAACTGCAAGCTAGATGAAATACATTGTTCTTAACTACTCGAGAACATTACAACATGAGTGGATATACCTTGCATCTGACCACCAGAATTCTTCTTGTTAGCTGCAGGACCAATGCGCATGGGCCTAGTGGAGCAAAACTTTCCATTCATCTCAGTCATAGCTCGTAACTGCTCACTCTCATCCCCAAATCTAACAAACCCATAACCCTTTGTGTGCCCGGTTGCCCTATCTGTTACAACCTTAGCACCCTTGATTGAAGGATAATTGGGTCTGAATGTCTCCTGAAGCATGTAATCTGTGACATCAGCTGCCAAGTCTCCAACAAATATTGTATATTCAGGGGTGTTATCTGAACGCTTTTCACCCGAACCAAGTGATGCCCAGTTGAGCCTAAAATTTTGCTCAATATTAGGCATCAAGGTGCCATTGTATGCTTGTAGATTCCTTTCTGCAGCAGCATGACTATTAAACTCAATAAAGCCATAACCCTCTGATTGCTGAGTTTGCTTGTTGCGGATAACTTTAGCGGAAACCACCTACATATACAATTAAAGTTAATGTTTTCTCACTCAACCACAAGCAATGGGGAAAGAAGAAGACCGATTAGTTGCACAAATATGCACATTAGAGCAAACGAAGAGAGTAAGAGGGCGTTTGGATTGACTTTTTAAAAATAGCTTATAAGCTAAAAGCTAAAAGTTATAAGTTGGTCATACCCAACTTTTGGCCGGTGTAATAAAAAGCGAGGAAAAGGGCGCTAAAAGCACAAGGCGAGGCGAAGCGTAGCCCCAGTACTACTCTTTCTTCTCCTAAAGTGAGGTGACATTCAAAAGGAGCTCGCTTCTACAGTTGAAGTGAGAAGAGCAAGAAAAAAAAAAGCGAGAAAAGGCGCGCTTAATTTGAAAAAGCGCTAATTAGGGTTTTTTTAAAAAAATTGTAAGGTTTTTTTTTTCAATTTCTGATATTGTCTTCCGCGACTTTACAAAACCTCCTTTCGCTACTTCAAATATTTTTTTGGACTGTTGCGAGGCTGCGACTGCTGATGCTGCTGTAAGTTCTCTTCTTCTCTGCGACTGCTCTGCGACCTTTTTTTTTAATTTATGGTTGCTGCTGTGTTTTTCTGTATTTTTATCGCTGCGACTGCTATAAGTTCTCTTCTTCTATTCTTCTCGGCGAGGCTGCCACTGATCAGTGATGTGTATGCTTGCTGCTCTATTTTTTTACTATCTATTTACTTTTAATCTAAGAATATATTACCTCTATTCAGGTATTTAATATTTTTATTTTAATACTAAATATCCCTTTACTTGAAAAAAAGAGCGTGCTTCGCTTCTCGCTTCTGTGAAGCGATCCCTCATCGCTTTTTTTCACTTCTCTCTTCCCAAAATACTGCTTTTGGCTTATTTTGAGCTTTTTTGGACTAAAAGTAAGTGCTAAAAAGCACTTCTTATCTTTGCCAACACTACAAAAAAAAAAAGAACTTACAATCGAAGAGCACTTAGAATAAGCCAATCCAAACACCCGTTAATCATGCATGTGCTTACAATCATGCACGTAGGAGTGTGCATTTCAGAACACGAGCATAAACTTGCATTACAAGTTGTATATCCGGATTCTCAAGATCTCAGATTTAGTGGGGCAAGACATTCACTAAAACAATTGTTGGTAAGATATACCCCTCAATTCCCAGGGGAGTCCACCCATCAATTATCAAATCAAAGATACCAAACGCATGATAGGATTAGTACCATACTAATAACTTAAAGATCAACGTTTATCTCATAACATATATAAAGGTACCCCAGAAACCAATGGATTAGCCTACTCAGAAAATTAGCAGCAATCAGTTACAAAGAAAGTCAAAGAGGAAGAAAAAGAGGAAGAAAAAAAAGAAGAAGAAAAAGCCTGGTTAGCCTTTCAGAGCAACGATTTCTTCCACAACTGCATTTAGGTAGCGCTATAGTTCGTTCGTCATACCCCCAGCCCAGGAATCATAACATACACTTCCAAATGGTTGCCACTGAAACCTCAAGAAATTTTTTTAAGAAAATATTTTCCTGCACACTAATTACATGAATAGAGGAAATTGATATAAATATACTATGTTATAACTTATAACTCACAATAAGCTCTGCTTAAATTAATATATGGGGAACCCCTCTACACTTGTATTAAAGTTAACTGTTTTTAATATTACTGCACAGTGTTCAGGGAAGCGTGAAGCGCTCACATACTCATTCTAGTCTGTGAAGCGTAGAAGGCTCGCATCGCTTCACTTCACACTCACTTTCCTGAACACTGTTACTGCATATCTTAACTCCACATTTTAAGTAGTACAGACTCCTGCATATAAAAACCATTGGAGATGTATCCACTTTCCTCGAATACACATACAAAACTCTGAAGAAATCAATCCAAATTATATGAACACTTAATAATTCTCAAGAAAAAATAGAAAAGATCCAATCTTCCCCCAAAAGACTTAGTTTTTCACATTAAATACTAGCAGCCATATCTAGAACATGTAAAAGTCCTTACCATAGCTTTTCAAGTAGCTTAGTTTTTCTGGTATAGTCATTACCTTTATAAAAAAGAAATATTTTCTGGTATAGTCTGCACTCTACAGAAACAACTAAATTAGCCTATGTGCAAAGCATAGTTTGAATGTCTTGACAGAATCATAAGAAAACATTTAAACATGTCATTATAAACCGGTCCTTATACATGTAATTCTCTAATAATGATATGTGTAAAACATGCATTTTATGAACTTTAACTATACCTCTCCAGTTTGCGCGAAGCAACTATATAGGTACTGCTCATCCATCCAAAACTGTAGATCTCCAATCCAAAGCGTCCGGACTTCATCAGCACTGGTCGGCTGAGCTGAAGCCGTGTACTGAGATTGTTGTTGTTGCTGCTGCGGTGGGGGTACTCCGCCACCCTGCTGCGGTGGTGGTTGGTAATAATAACCGGCCTGCGGTGGCAGAACCTGGTACTGCGGCTGCTGAGCCATCCACTGCTGTTGGTACTGTGGTTGCGCCGCCATTGGTGGTGGAACCATTGAACTTGCCGCCGGTTGCATCGTGTTGAAACCCTAGAGGAAAATATGTGGATGATGTGAGAGAGGAGATTGGAAGAAGCGAGAAAGAGATAATTTGTAGCTGATGCCACTGTAAAAGGGTACTATGGGCATGTAAAATTTTCAAACCTTCTAAATTTAGAAATACATGTAACAATTATTGCGTCTAAAATTGAACTATAATCCATAATTTGAGCGTTATTGAATTAATAAGAATGATTTGAAATTTTATAAATATTCGTTATTAATTCGGGAATATTTTTAATATTGGATAAATCAATAACTCATTTTACTTATGCGCACTCGTCCCCTTGCCCCTTAATTCATTTATGTTTTCATTTGTCGTTCATCCCAACTATTAGTTATATTCTTCAACAACGCAAAGATGACATTTGATGGGTTCAGATAGTTCGACAAATAGTCACTAGTGGAGTACATAAAAGTATTCCTCTTTTATTTTAGCTTATTATATAACAGATAACTAATAAGCTAATTAATCAATCAATATCAGTTAATTTGGTGGCAGTTGAGCACATATAAAAAGCTTATGCTTGTATAGATCTTACCTTTGGCTTTCACAATGCAAATTTAAATTAGTCGAATCTCAAAATAGGTATCAGACGACTAGGAACAAGTTATGAACAACTATATTAGATAGGGAAATGAAACTGACAACAACAATATGAAATGAGTATATCAAGTCACTTCAGGGATATCACATTCATCACTAGGTTAATTTTGAAATCAAAACACAAAGGGATCCCATAGTAATTTTCCTAATTTCTTTGTTCAATAAGTACAAAAATTTGTAAAATTTCTGTCTTCAAACAACAAAAGTAATAGAAATGTAAGCACAACAGCTATTAGTAACTGGCAAAAAGAATAGAGATATTCTGCGCCTTTTCACAAGTTTTACTTCTTGGATCCTTTTCAGCGCGGCTCCATACCTCGTGCAGAACTACACTAACTTCAGTTGATGCAACCATTGCAAAGTTGTAGGATTGAAGATATATGTTCACTGCAGCTAACGAATAGGGTGGTATTGAGCAGATACTCTTTTCGGAGACAGTTTGTGTAGGATGTACAACACAAGAGCTGTCGAAAGAATTTCCACGCGTTGCCACAGGGAAGAATGATGTCATCTCAAGTTCAGAGGGTGTTCAAGGAGCATGAAAAAGAAAACGACGTGTATCATGTAGTATATCAGATTCAGAACTGGGTGGTCCAAGACATCTAGTGATGCATCAACATCAAAAGCTGATAACACAACCATTTTTTATAACAAATATGAAAGCTGGTGGCATAGAGATTGAAAACCTTGAGGTAATTTGAAAGAGAATTTGATTATTGGCTTAATAATAATAATTCCGAAGTAAGGAACTGTTTTTTTTTATAAGATAAGATAAGGAACTATTACTAAGGAATTAAAGCGAGTTTGACTCTAAAGATCAAAGCACCAGCAGCAACAAAACTCAACCATTTTTTATAACAAATTTCTACTCTTGATGCTATGTAAGTGCATCAAATCAACAAGAGAATAGTTCATGCATTACATTAGGTAACAAAGCATGACAAGAGTCTTATCTCTCTAAGAACCATATTTATCAATTATAGTTTTTTATTGTTCAACCACTATTGCTTGGATGCTTTGTCAAATGCTATTGATGCAGAACATGAAATCCAAAGACAATGACATGCACAAACTGAGAAAAATAGATTTACATTTAATTTTAGTTCACTAAGAAATAAAGTATTCCACTGCTTTGAGACGTGTGATTAAAAATGTTTATAATTTTATTAGTGAAAAATCCATGAATTTATTCTGATGAATATAAATTACAATATAGAACTTTTTTGTCAAATTTTGTGTGTGAATACAATATTAATATTAAAGCTTGATTATTTATTAATTTATAAATAAAAAAATGAAAACGAATGAGTTATCATATCTTGATAACACATTCTATCATAATCTAAATAAAAAATAGTTATCTATATATTAAAGATTATTCTTTTGAAATCAATATACGTCTCTTGATTCATAAATTTAAATACCATACGATTTTAAGTAACAATTAAAATTAACGTAATATTCAAAGACCCTCAACAAAATAGGTCATATTCCAGTTCAAAGTCATTTGTCTAAACCCCTAAACCCCAAAATCTGAAACCCTAACAGCCATGGCAGCACTTCGCAGCAAGCTCCGATTTATCACCTCTCAGCATCACCACCACCTCCGCCGTTACTCCGCCGCCTCTATCCTTAATCCCGATTCTAAATCTCCACTCTCAGGCAAAGACAAGTCACGCGCCGCCCTAACTCTCCTCAAATCCGAAACCGACCCACAGCGGATCCTCGACATCTGCCGTGCAGCTGCCTTAACCCCTGAATCCCATCTCGATCGCATTGCATATTCCAAAGCCATTTCCAAGCTCAAAGATCTCAATCATTTCTCCGGTATCCGTTCATTTCTCCAGGAATCAACGACCCGGCCTGATTTGAAATCCGAGCGGTTCATTTCCCATTTCATTGTTCTTTACGGTCAGGCCGGACTGCTTGATGAGGCTAAGAGGACTTTTGAGGAGATGGAGAAAATGGGCATTCAACGTACTGAGAGAACTCTGAATGCGTTGTTGTTTGCTTGTGTTTTAGCTAAGAATTATGCTGAAATGAAAAGGGTATTCGTCGAATACCCAAAAAAGTATGGGTTTGTTCCTAACTTAGATACCTACAATGTGGTGATCAAAGGGTTCTGTGAATCAGGTTCTGCTAGTTCAGTTTATTCGATATTGGATGAAATGAAAAGAAACAATGTTAAGCCGAATGCAGAGTCTTTTGGGAATTGTATATCCGGGTTTTATAAGGAGGAGAAGTATGAAGATGTTGGGAAAATGTTGGAAATGATGAAGGGATATAAGATGGTTACGGGGATTAGTACGTATAATGTAAGGATTCAGAGCTTATGTAAGCTTAAGAAGTCCGCGGAGGCTAAGGCGTTACTTGATGGGATTTTATCGAGAGGCTTGAAGGCGAATTGTGTAACTTATGGCCATCTTATACTTGGTTTTTGCAAGGAAGGTAAATTGGAAGAGGCGAAGAGTATGTTCCAGAAGATGGTTCATAGTGGTTTGAAACCGGATGCTGAATGCTATTTTACGTTAGTGTATTATTTGTGTCAAGGTGGGGATTTTGAAGCTGCATTGGAGATGTATAAAAAATGTTTGGCTGATGGATGGGTTCCGAATTTCTCCTCCATGAAGTCTCTTGTTGAGGGATTGGCTAGCATTTCAAAGGTTGATGAAGCACGGGAAGTCATAGCTCAAGTGAAGGAGAAGATATCAAGAAACGTCGAGAAGTGGAATGACATTGAAGAGGCATTGCCCAAGTAGGAAGAGAAAATAAACATGGTATACTAGAGTTTTCTGGTTGCAGCAATGCCCATGATCGTAATAAAGTGAAAAATTCAACTTGGTTATGTGTTTCATCAGTGCTAAAGATTTCATTTTATTGCATCTTAGTTCTCATTTGGAATTAGCATTCAAGAGTCTTTATTCATATGTGCTTTGCTTCCAACCAAGTAACATGTCATTTGGCTTGAAGTTTTTGGCGAACAAGGTGTTTTATCGCCTATCCAGTAGCATGTGATATTAACATTAACTGCTGTATTCACATTTGTTTTTAGGTAATGAATTTTGAGGGCTTTTATACTGTTTCTACAGCTGAAGTAGTTAACATTATCAGATAGAATGTCTCTGGGAATATTATGTTCTAATTACCCTTGACAACAGGTTGAATCATATCATGCTTTGAGCTTTTTGACCATCCTTGTTAAAATTCAGACATGCAAATTTATATTAAAAGAACAGATTTAGCTGATTTTCAGAACAAAGATAGTTAAAATGGTACTGGGGTTCACGTTATTATTGAAGTCTTTCAATATCAACAGAGAAGTAAATAAGAGAGAGAACTTTATTTCCTGATAGAACCGTTCCCTAAGAATTGAGTGAGAATCTAAGTGTACAACAAAAACTATAACATAAGAAAAGGAAAGAAACAAATCTGGCAATTTGTTTAACTATTCAGTATCCAATTAGAGTCTGTTCTTCCACGTAGCTCCACCCCCAAGGTGTTGTGCTCCATAGGCCGCAGTTGAACCTACCGTTGTCATGGCTACTAACCAGCTGCAACAAACCAGAATGGAATTGAGTACTATATATGTTTTAAGAAATGAAACTAAGAGGTACAGTTGGAAGTTGTAACTCACCTGAGGTAAGTGATATATGTTTGAGTTTCGGCATTACCCAGATCCGGTTGAAGGAGAGCTGCAGCAACAAGGGCCAATTGCAGAACTGTATTTACCTGTACATGTTTCAATGTAATTATGAACTGGAATACTAGTTTGCCTCTCTATCTCTATAAGGTAAGGGTAAAGTCTGCATACACGCCACCCTCCACAGACCCCGTAATTCCAGATACAATATGTTGTGTTACTTATGAACTGCGAAAAATATTGCAAAATTGTTCGTGTAAAATTACAAGATATCTTCTCAGTTGTTCCTTTCCAATGTTGCCTAAAAAGTGCTTCAATGAACATGAGCTATACCTTGCTTATCAAAAGAGGCTCAACTTTCTGAGGACGGGCTCCATCAAGGTTGAAGAATTCATACCAGCTTGACCACTGCAGACAATGTTAAAACCAAGTAACATGAGCAAAACAATACTGCAGATTACTATTTACTGAATCTTAAGGCAGAGCCAACATCACCTTCCACTCTAATATGCTAGCTCTTTTATATACCGCACCACCAACAAGAGCCACATCACGCAGCACAACCAGGGAAACTAGTCCAGCTTCACAGCATAAAATCAAGAAAGTAAGTTTCTGAAAACAAAGTGCAACATTTCCTCTTCATTTGGAAAATCCACAAATAATTAGAGATTCAACTGGGTAGAAAATACATCTAAACACTTTTGGCACTCAAATGTATCCTTTAGTAGATATGTAGGATGAAAGGCCTCAACAAGCAGTAGCATCGCATATGGATCACTGACATATCTCTTATTACTATTTCGCTCAATCGAGCCTCAAGCCAGGGAAAGTGATGTCGTATGAGTAGTGTACACATTTCGTGAGCAAGACAATTGATCATCAAATAAAGGAAAATACCAAGACATGCCTACAGTTTACAGACCTGTAATCTTAACTTGAACGAGTCAGTACAATTAGAGGATCAAATTTTAGATCAAAACTAGGACTTAATTGTCCATCCAAAACAGAGAATGAGAAATTCTCATTCCTTAAACCTTAATAATGACAAAGACAACAGGAAAAGCTATAGATAAGTAACGCTCAGATGTCTATGAAAATATCAGGTTTGCCAAGTATGGGTATGAATTTTCCTTGTTTTTATAGAGGTCAACTTAGATGTTTATTAGCACTAAGCATGAAATCTAATGTTCAGAATATTATATTATGATCTCAGGGTGATTTATTACAAGCTTTTCAACAATCTTTTCTTTAGGTGGAGGTGGGTAAGCAAGCTTATCAACAATCTAAACTGTGCAGCATGCTAAACTTGGGAGGAAAGATAAAGAGCTGAAGGACATGCATAGAGATGACCAAAACAAAAGGTAATTGATCGATCATATGAACTTCAAGCAACAGATAGGATATTCAATAAAGCAAAAAGAAAGACTAGCATAAACTTTTTATCATGGAGAATTCTAAAGAAAGTGAATGATTTACAGAGGAGATACAGAAGTAGTAAAAATGTATATTGAGCTGTTGTTGTCACACTTACATCACGTCCGGTTCAAGACTCGCATGACAACTTAAGGGTAAGTGTGAAATTTAGAAAGACAAATTAGTTAATATTGGAGTGAAATCTGCCTGCACATAGTAAATACTTTCAGAGAATTCATGCAGCCGATTCTGTTTTATATTGAAGGTAGTCAATTTAGTAACCTGGAAAGAGTATGCAGGTAAGTTCAAATGGAATATAAACTTACGATGAAGAAGACCCTTGTCTACCATTGCCAGAGCAACAAATGCAATAAGAACCTGTAGGTATAAAAGGTATAGTGATAAGAAGGCCAATAAAGAAGTATCTGAGATCCCAAGATAAGCGACACTATATCCACAAAAGAAGTACATGAAAAAAGAGAAACAAGAAAGAAACAGGAACGGACGGAAAACAAATTCAGTGAAACAATGAAGAGAACATGAATGAATCACAAATCAGAACTTTGTTCACTGATTAGGTCAATGAACCAGATAGGAGAGCAGTTTAAATAGTTACCTTGTCAGCAAGAGGATCAAGGTAAGAACCAACAACAGAATTAATTCCCATCCTCCTAGCCATGTACCCATCTAGCTACAAGGCAAGAGTGAAACTAAATTAGAAAGCTGAGCTTAATTCCTTTTCAAGGAGAAGAAGAATGGGGCTACACACCCAATCTGTTGCCCCAGAAACAGCTAGCCCAACAAATGCAGGAAGATACATATCATGTATAATCATCCTGCAATATTTACACAGCAATGGGAATTAAAGGAGCGTATCTTTAATTTGTAGCTTAACTACAGCAGAATGATAACATCATGTCAATTTGCAGTCTAAATGCTCCATGGACTTCACATACAGACTTTACCGTGCAAGCTATGCTTATGGATTAAAAGCACAACCACATTCAAGATAACACATCTGATCATATCCAAAGAAACCTCAATATCTAATAAATGATAAGTAAACATAATGCTTGACCAAGGAAGATAAATTAGTCTCCAACTACACCTCAATCCTAAGCACAGCCAGATTCAAGAAAACCAAGGTGATCATGTTCATGGCATTCACATGATCTAATTTATGATAAACAAACATAATGATTACAATAACACCTCGGTCCCAAACAAAAAATAATGCTTACTGAAGGAAAATGACAAACTCAAAATTATTGCTTGTCCTTGTACTAGTTCTTGAATTATTTCAGAGCTCAAATGCTAAGGCATACAGCAAAGGGCATAAAATATTTGTGGTCTTTTACTTTATCATGTCTCTTTCAAGTTCTTCTTCACAAGTGCTAAAATTGACTGAACTAAACATCCATAATTGTCTAAATCATGAAATATGAATGTCAAGAAATGAAGTAGTTCTGCATTCATCAATAAGGATGTACAAATACTGCGCTGATGAAAGCAAATGCCCACAAGGTTACAAAAAGAATGTTTTTTTACTTGTTGGCAACTCTTACATTCCAACTTTCCACGTGACATATTTAACCACAAGATTAAAGTGCATTTTGATACATTTTACATATTTTAGCTTAAGATGACAAGAAGTCTTTTTTTTTTTCACTTTCTTAAACTCTCAAAACTAGACAAACAAATTAAACCATTTATTCAAGCCAAACACTGGCAAATGAGCCTGATACTTCAATGTAAAGCAGTTTCCACTTTCCTCCATACAAAAATGTGCATTGAATAAACTATTGCAACCAATTCTGAGGTACAGAAAAAGGGAAAGAAAGAGCAAAAATTTACCATGCGAGAACTGGACCGGATATCATTCTACTCAAGGAAATGAAGTTGGGCAAATTGAGGAAACTATCCCTAACTTCAACAGCCAGCTGAGACTCTTTCCATTGCTTTTCATTTCTCTCAATTTGCAATCTCTGAGTCGATTGGAAGCATAACTTGTACGGAAATTGTAATCTAAGAGAACTAACTCTAGGAAAAACGAGAAGGAAATCGGATTGAAGATGTAGAGAAGTTGCAGACTGAGAAAGCTTACAAGGAGGTGAAGAAAGGAAAAGAGGACAGAAATTAGCGGCGGCAGCGAACGGAGAGAGGAAGTGTCGGCGCCGGCGGTCAAAGTCAAGTAATGGCGTCAATGGAATCGATGACGATGAGGAAGACGAAAATTGTTGGGTAAAGAAGATTGTAGAAGAAGTGAGATAGTTCAAATTGAGCTTACGATTTCGAGAAATTAGGGTTCCGATTGATCTGAAAATCGCCATTGATGTAGCAGCATTTTCATGCACATCGAGATGGACTAAGATTTTTTTGCAAGGGTTTAGCAGAGCTGTCCGACGAGGCAAACAAACTTGACACGTGTTATCGAAGCTCGAATTATTAATTTCATTCTTTAATTATTTATATCTTAAAAAATAGTATTATTTTATTTGATTAACGGTATATGAATATATTTTTCATCTTTGTGTTTTTCTTAAGATTATAGTATTTCTACGCGAGTTTGAGATTATGACTAAGTCATGTGTTAGATCAAAAGTCGTTTAATTAACTAAGTAGAGAGTATTTTTAAAGCTAACAAATGACTACTAATTTATATCAATTACAAATGTGTTTTTAATATTTTTCTTAAAATAAAATAATTGAGTATAAAAACACATTTTAAGTATCTCTTTATTTTTTTTAATAGCATATTTAAATTATTGCAATTTGAGAGTAGGACAAATTATCACATCTAAACAATTATTTATCTAAATAAATCATTTATTAATTTGAAAAACATACTTAAACTATCCTTCAATTATTTGAATCACCGCGTAATATAAAGTCACCTTTTCATACTTCAATTATAAAATTACACTAGCTAATGAAGTATACTAGCTAAAACTAATGAGACAAATAATGTACGTTAACCAATCACCTTGAAAAAAGTTAGTTAAGATAAAAGAGGCCTTAAATTCCATATA